GAACAGGCGGTGTCATTTGAGAAGGTATCTGGGAAAATAGTATTTGTCAAATATTTGTGGATTCGTCTATAAAAAAATCGACAAAGATACTTTGAAATTTAATTTCTAGACTTACTATTCCTGGGCCTGGTATAGACACACAACTTATATTTTCCTGTCCTTGGATGGATGGGTCTGACGATTGTTGTTCCGGATTAGGAAGCGTCATCATATGCACTGGCATTGTATTCAACGATGGCATGTTATAACCCTGTATAGGATATTGATTCATTGATGGCTGCCCATACATATAAACTCCTTGATTTGTGGGTGATATAGGATTATAATTAGCTCCAGGAGTCGGATAGTGGACATGACGAACGGGTGATCCTTGAGAAGGTCCCATAAAATCTGAAACTGCTTGATAACCTCCTGCAAAAATAAAATAGATAGAAAAGAGGAATATGTATGTATGTATATATAATCTCAATGAAAACCAAGACAAAAATTTACAAATATCTAATAATAAATTTAAGTAAAATTAAAAATTATGCATTATTCATATTACTAAATTACCCATTATATATTGCTGTTTCTGTTGCTCTTGGCGCATTTGCATTTCCCTCTCTTGTTCTTGAATCTTTCGTAAAGCTAACTGGCGTTGATACTGCAAGTATTCTTGCTTCTTTTTTCGCATAATCGCTAACTTTTGTGCCATTAGCATTTGACGCTGTCTTTCAGCTTCTTCTGCTCTCCTCCGTAACTTCTCTTTATGTTCTTCTCGAAGTGCATCTAAAGCAGCTCTAGCATCCTTCATCTGAGTTAATTTATCTTGCAAACCTTCATAATACACTCTACTATCATCTTGTTCTTGGATGTATCTTAGCAATCTATATAAAGATATTTATTTTATATAATATTCACATGTTATTTTATATAATATTCCATATACATTCATATCTACTTAACAAAAAATATCACAAATAATAGTTTCATTAAACATACCTAGAATGCATAGCTGTTATATTCATGAATAAGGTTTGAACCGAACTATCATTAGCAATCGATCTTCCCCTTGAGGAATTACTTTTCATCCTGTTTACGAAAATTTCGACCTGAGATCTCAGACCACTTACGAATTCTTCCATTTGAGTATCAATTTCGCCATTTTCCTGTTTTACAAGTACGACTCTTTGAGGCATTGGACTGCTTATATTAGGTGCAGATGGACTGGTCACATCTATTCTTGATCCATGCTCTTCGCTTATAGTTTGTCTTTGCTCCCAATATTTGCGATTCAGATATTTAGCAAGCTCAGGTTCAATCTCGTCATCATCTTGTATCCGTGATGGACTGGGACCCTAATAAAATAAATAAATCTTTGTATATAATTTTTGTAAAATTGCAAAAAAAAAACTTCAGAAAATATTACTATACTATTTTAGAGTTTAATTTTAAAAAAATATAGATTATTGTTAATGATTTTACACAATAAAAGCTATTATTCAATAAGAGTTATGAAAGACTAACACTAACAGGTGATGGTGGTGGCGAATATGTGGTTCTAGATATAGAAGTAGGATTGGATTTTAAAGCACTTGTAGCCCGTTTTTTCTCTTTCTCTTTCTGTTCAGCTTCACTTTGACTCAAAGCTATTGCCAGATTTAACTCTTCTTCTTCCCGCAATTCTTCCTCTGTTTTTCTAGCTGGAACCTAAAGATATAAAGTATTACACACATATATAAAGGAAACCAATTATTAATATATATCTAATATTATTTAAAAAAATTAACTCAGTTTGTAGAAAAGATTCTTTTCCTTGAGTTCCATATTTGATGTAATAATTTGAATGTATAATGTCAATTATTATTATATAATTATATTATAAATAAATCATAATATATATAATTGCAATTGTATAATGTATATTTAATTATAATCAATATATTATTTTTAATCATCCTACAAATATTTATTTCAAATCATGAGTAAGAATACCTGTGGCAGTGAGGAAGCCATGTTTAACTAATAATTTGATTATATAAATGAATAATCTCTTGAAGTTGAATATATAGTACAATAGATGAGTCAATTTAAAAAGATTGAAGTATAATTTGATTGCAAGTTATTTAAAAAGTGTAATTAACTCTTTTATAGTATATATTTCCGTGTAATCTTATTGTTATATGCTTAAAAAAACGTTAATATTAAATCATATAGCATCAAATACAAATATACATACTTGTTGCTGCTGGGCCAAAGTGCTCTTGAGATATTCTGCTGGAAGATCTGTATCTTTGGTCTGTGTTGCAGACGGTCTGAAAAAAATGTATGGTTTTAAAAATATCTAATACAATCATAATCACAATATAAGATACAAATAAAGAATGCAAAGTTCTACTAACTTGTTAACTTGTTCATAACAAGCTTCGCAAACTCGAACTTCTTTTTCAATCCCGAATTTTGGCAGAGTAGAAACTTTGCTCGAGCACTGAGCACAAAAGACCTGCCCACATGCTCTGCAGTGATGTTTTCGTTGAACCATGCCAAAATTCACGCGACACCGATGACATACTTCCCCATCTGCCCAAGCAGGTGCAGTATCTGCTCTGAACATAGCGTCGCTTTCTTTCAGAGCAGGAAATTGATATCCTTCAGCTTTCATTATATTTAAGGTATCCTATAATTATAAAAAGATACAAAAAATGAGTACATATAATATTATACATTAATAATTAAACAATTTTAAAAAATAGTATCTTTTACCTGAACTGTTCTATACTTTGGACTATGACGAAATGCATGAGCCCAAGCTTGTATTAACTCTAAAGTTTTCATTCTGACATTTTCATGCGGAGAAGTCTTGACTAATTCTTTTAGTTGTTCCATATATTGTTTGGTAGCTATTTCATCATGAATCAGTGTTCCACAATTTTTTACACAAGATTCCAGTACCTGTGCGTGCGATAATTATTAAAACATTAATAAATAAAAATATAATAAATACAATTATCTCTTAGTATGATATTAAAGTATATCTTACCAATAAAGCATACAACGCTACATGTGGATTACTGTTTATCATTTTCTTTCTTATAGCAGCAAGCGCAGCTTTTGGCCTAAACAAGTAAATTGCTTTGAAATAAATACAGCAATATGTAAGTTTGCGCAAACAATGATCCGATACAGTTTTCTTTTTCTCAAGTAATGAGATAAATTGACAATATATGTTATTGTTCAATATTACATTCTAATCATCGGTAAAAAATGCAAGTGTACTATTTACAAGAATTATGCTTACTGAATATCGCTTTGACGTATAAGGTCGCAAATTTGCATGATCGTAGGCCAATCCGGTTCTAACTGCATATTGGTCGTCGCTTTATCTACAAACAATTAACAACGATTTAGAGAAAGTTCCGACATTTTGGAGGAATTTTGAACTCAAGAAACTCACCTAGCAAAGTGGCAAAATTTGCCGAACTTCGAAACATGTTGTTAGCGCGATGAAACTCACGTGTCTATCCTTTCTTGAAGCTTTACCGCGTTTAATTACGCAATTATTTCGATCGGCTGGCAACGATTGCAACGTAATTTTGACAATTGTTCTTATCGCTCATCTCACATTGAGTCTTCCTACTTCCTACCCTAGATGTTTGCAAGATGAGTCAGAGTAGATCAGAATCGACTGTGAGATAATCGATTAATCGACTATCGAAAATGATCGATATCCAAAAATTTCAAGCCATCGAATACTTGCAATTTTGTGAAAAAAACATAGTGAAAATTTTCTATTATAATTTTTTTGCATTTTACACATTAGTTAAACACTTGTAAAATGATGAATTATTTTCTCACTATTCAGTACATAATTACGCGATTTTATAAGAGCATAGCTAGGTTATAAAGATGTATATATATATATACATCTTATATATATATATATATATATATATATATATATATATATAATAATTATTACTTATTTCAAATTTGTGAAAAATATTTTTAGATATTTGAAGATATAAAAGTTTGAACTATGTATACTAATAAATAAAATATATAATAGCAATTAGTAAATCTTGTTTTTAGTTTTTTTAGTCAATATAAGAGCACAAAAAATAATTTTCTTTATGTAAATGAAATTATTATATAAAACTTTATATAAAGTTTAATTAAATAATTTGATACACACACAAACTCACACGTTATTTACATTACATATATATTTAATTATCTAAATAATTTAACATTCATCAAAATTCGATCAAGTTATTTATATTTCTCTGTGAATATAAAAAATATATTTGTAATGAGAAAATAAAATCACTGGACATTTTATTTGAGAAACTGTCTGTATTTATTTTATATTATTGTTAAATAAGTGGTATAAAGTAATGTAAATATATGTACTCATATATCAATATATGAAAAATAATCATCGTACAATATTATGAATATAGTTTCTAATATGTTATATATTAAACAAATTATGAACACTGACGGTGATTCGTTTTCTGAAAAAAAGAGAGGAAAATAAAAGTACTCGATAGAGGCGACTGTGGCCTAGATTTATCAACACTGATCGATTCAATTGCCAAAATATATTCAATTAGGTCAATAAGTAATATACGCGATTTAAACCCAAAAATATTAAAGATAATATTAAATTAAAAATAGAAAATTAAATAATCTGTAATTAGAAAATATTTCTTCAAAATATTATGCTAAATTTAATGTATTTTTTTGATTGCATATAAATATATGATTATGTGCAACAAAAAAAGTACATAAACTTTATATGTTATTTACATATTTATTTAAATTATTTTTGTCCTATATAATAAATAAATCACGCATCTATTGTTTTTTACTTACCCAATGTGGTATATTTTGGCGATCAAATTGATCAATATCGGAAACTTTACGCTACCAGTCGATTGTTACCGAGTATATTTCCCTCTTATCTTAGAGAACGAATCAATTTGATTTACTTCCAAAATGTATTTTTTGGAATCGACAAATTGGAGAAAAATAAAATTCCCTAAACTCATTTTCTTTTATAGAATGGATTGCGTGGACTCGTTATAGGACTCATTTTGAGTACACCAGCTAACGGTTTCTTTTTTGCGTCAAAAGGAATAGCCGGGCTTTTACGAACTTGCTGAAGATATTCTGATGTATGTTGTGCAGTATTTCGTAAGAGACTGAAGACTACTTTTTTTCCCCCCGGGGAATTATTTAAATTTGTTTGTTTATTTTTCTGATTTAATAATTTCTGTAATGTGAGACAATAAATAATTTTATATATAATTTTCGTAATGAATTTTGCTGTAAAAATATCCGAAAAATCATCAGAAGATAAAATCAGAATATTGATACTTACATCTTTCAACTGGATTCCTTGATCGTTGCGCTTAACATTTTTTTCCAACATTGTCTGTTTGAGGGCTAAGGATTTTTTATTCGTAGCTTCTTTAATTGAATTTTTCTTTGAAACTGGTGAGACAGAATATTGTTTTTTATGTTTCTCATGCAATATCGTTTTCTTTTGTTTACATTTCACATTATCTGCTATAAGAGTATCATCTACTGGGCTCAATTGAATCTTCTTAGTTTTATTAAATTTTTTATGCGCTTTTGTTTCTTGCTTTTTCTTGTTCTTATTTTTGATAATTATATTTTTATTATCAAGTTCCTCACATATTAAATTACTCTTCCGTTTCTTAGCTGGCACTATATTTGCATCTGTATCCTGTGAGTTAGGCTTTATAATCTCTGTATTAACTGATTCACTTTTTGAATCAATAGTGCCTGTACTAGAATTCAACTCTAAAGATGTATCACTAACAGAGTCTCTAGTTCTTTTTCTTTTTTGTTTTTTGTTAATATTGTCAGAGAATAATTTTTTCTCAAATTGAATGAGGCGCAATGTAGCTTTTTTCGATTCTTTTTTCGAATCTTGTTTCTGCAAATTTGGTTTCCTAACTTTCTTTATTCCAAGAGGCATTTTCCCTCTGATAATTCTCTAAATCTGAAAATTCAATTTTCTTATAAGGAAAATGTTATTAAAAAAATATATATATGAAAACTATCTTAATTTGATAAATTATTAAGATAAAATAGTACAATATACATACTCTTGAATAAGTCTTGAAACTTGTCTTCGTGATTTTGCCTTAGATGATGGATGAAATTGATGTGATGAAAGCAGTTCAATAATTTTTACAGCATTGAAAGGTATTTGTGGTAATTCCACATTTACTCTACCTGCTCTTGGGTCTAAAGGTTTTTCAATTTCATTTTGCATTTTACTTTCTAAAAGCTGACTTTCATTTTCATCAACATTTTTCTCTGTGTCTTCCTCAATTTTTTGCATATTATCCACATGTGCGCAAGGAAAACCAGCCTATTTGTATATATATTTATTAAATATGTTTATATGTCTCAAAAGATATATCTTTTTAATAATAGATTTCTTGAAATATTCTAAAATAAATCAATGTCAATTATCCATATACATTGTATATAAGGATAAACAAATTTTTTACTACAGCTTATATTGCATATTTCTACAATAACTTCAATATTGTCAATAAAATTGATTTATTCTATTATTATTAGCTGTAACACTTTGCAATGCTCAAATATGCAAAACATTAGCTATGTGATTTGTAAACTTTAATATGGTTCCAATTAAAAATTAAAGATCTTGATATTTTTTTAGAATATTTCAAAGAATCAATCATTAAGAAAGTTTAAATATGTATTGCAAAAATGTTATATATATATATATATATATATATATATATATATAATTATATTTTTGTTTAGTATACTTACATTTTTCCAAGCTGTAAATTTTTCTGAATAATCTAAACCTATGTCTGACTGAAATATCAAATATCTAAAGACATGTTGCATGATATGTTTTATTTGTCGTTCATCATCTGTTGTCATTTGATATATAACAAATGGTTTAATAAATTCATGGACAACATCTTCTGGTATATTTCCATTGCTAACCTGTGATTTAAATAACAATGTTTTATTAAAGCTTAGATAAAATAGTTAGAAACTAAAAATCTCATTTATATAAATCTTGTTGAATCAAGTTTTTATAGTACCTTTGCAAGTTCTTCTAAATATATTTCTGTCATATGCAAATTGAATCCTAAACCAGTTTTTGGATGTAAGAACACTTCTAAAAACATTTTTGACATTTCTGTCACCCATTCAATATTCCATGAATTATTTTTACAGATCACAAATGTTTGACGAAGAATTCTTCTCACCAACTAAAAAAATAAAAACATAAGTGTTGATTATTTGTATATAAAATAAAATACTACTTTAGATGCATAAGAAAAATAAAAGTACCATTGAAAATTTGTCTAATCTATATTGATCTATGCCAAACCATTCAATAGCAAGTGTCATCAAAGCAGAACTGGTGTAAAGTATAATAGTATCCTTTGAATTGAAACAATGTACAAGTTTACTAAGCGATTCTGCTAACTCTTCCTGAATCAACATTTTATCAGACATCCACATGCAATAAAATAGACCTTTCCACAAGCTCATAAAGTCTGTTTTTGTAAAATCTGTAGAGTATAGTATTGCATGTAGTATAATAAAAGTTTATATTTCAGTCTGCAAATTAATATATCATTTATTTAAGAAAATATGCAAACACAGACTTACCAAATGAACTTTGCGATCGTACTGTTAACCACTTCTTCAATCTTTTTAACACCTTATCCCTTATTTTTTTATCAGTATTGGTTAACAATCGCGCCATTTTAATTTCTTGCGCGACGAGTAAACTTCTTTTATTTTCATTTTTAGCATTTATAGGCCGCATCTTGTTTTCACCCTTCAATGTCTTCATTTTATCATATATCTTTTTGTAGCGAAGCACGTGGACGACGCTGTTTCTCCGAGAATGAGATGTAACCGAAACGTAAAACTAATCGACCAATTACAATCCAGCATTTTCACAACGTTAAGGTATCATTTCATGTGCAGCATACTGTCGCAGCAGTTTGTTGCTATTGGTGAAGTTCAATTGAACGAACAGCAAAAGCAGCAAAGCTAAAGAACACGCAACTAGTTGATTCTAATTATTGTTATTCTTATATTAGTTAAATAAAGGATTTTAAGAATAAAATAAATTATTGTGAGAATATAAAAGCAAAAATCGTATTTTAAACCTCGAAATAATAAGAGAACAAAGAAATATGCTCTAATAAATTTTGATCACGTGACTGATTTACTGCTGCAGCATGCTGCGTATGAAAAGGCACCTTAAGAAGAACGATTGTGATTGATCGATTTGCTCAAGGTATTAAGGCTGTTTTTCATTACAGATTGCGGACTCGATTACAATTGAGGATGACCAATCGGAGCAAAGCAGTTTGACAGCTGATTGGTCGATCCGCAACTGTCAAACGAAACGTCAAACTGCGGTGTAATGCGAACTTTAGTTACAGACTAAAATATTTTCACGTGAAAAGGCCTTTATTGCTGTCATTTCCAGCTGTGTCAATTTACGGCGAGAATTTACGGCGAGAATTTACGGCAAAAAAATGTTCGGTAATTTTATATCAATATTCAAATATTACCAAAATTTATTATAGTTGTTCGAAAAAATGCCACTTGCATTTATAATCAAACAAATATAATCGTTTTATTCTCTTTTTAATTAGGCTGTTGTTGGTGTTGTTCCGCATTACGTCCGAGATATAAGAGGCTTGTTGATAATATCTTTCCAGTTAATCCTCAGGTAATAAAATTTTTCAATTTTCCCTTTTTAATTTGTTTTTATCTCGTTTTGTCAAATTTTTAGCTTTGCTTATGAACAAATGTATAAATCAATATTGAACACTGTCCTTGACAATTGATTGTTCTATTTATATTTGAATCTGATTGTGAGGTATATATGTTTTTTCAAACGAAAAAAATTGTTACATTTAACAAAAAATAACATTTGTATATATTTTGCATTTAATTAATTATATTAATGAATTTTCTCATTTTTTCAGGATGGGTTGATTAAAAATAATATGGAAAAATTAACATTTTATTCATTGAGCAGTCCTGAAAAGTTAGACAGGATTGGAGAGTATTTATTTCAAAGAGCTTCTAGAGATATTTACAGGTGTGTAATATTAACTGTATCATAATATCTGGCCTTCTAAATTATATAATCACTTTATATAAGAGATACAAAAATTAATTTTAATGACTCTTACAAACTTGATTAGCAGTAACTCGATATGATTATATGTATATAGCTTGCTATATATCTGTAATTAAAATATTATATGAAACAAAAATTGATAAAATCTGATAAATACATATTATTTATATCATAGGAGAAGAAATGGTTTTGTTGTAATTGCTATGGAAGCAATGGATCAGCTCCTAGTGGCTTGTCATGCGCAAACTTTGAATTTATTTGTTGAAAGCTTTTTAAAGATGGTACAGAAATTGTTGGAATCTACAGATCCTCAGTTACAAATTCTTGCAACACAATCTGTAAGTCACTGACAAACTTGAATTTTTCTGCTATTAATTTTATTGAATTAATATATTGATTCTGTTTCAAAGTTTGTCAGATTTGCAAATATTGAAGAGGACACACCTTCATATCATACACGCTATGACTTCTTTGTATCAAAATATTCTGCAATGTGCCATTCTAATAATGATGATTCTAATATACGCAAACAAATTAGACTTGCTGGTATTCAAGGATTACAGGTATGATGCTACTGAATACAATAAAGTATCAGTTTATTTAAATTACAGACTTGCTCATTAAAAAATGACTCATTAAAAATTATATGTTTATGTTATATACATTATTATGTAGGGTGTTGTAAGAAAAACTCTCTCTGATGATTTGGTTGAGAATATTTGGGAACCTGTACATATGGATAAGATTGTGCCATCATTGCTATATAACATGCAAAATTCAAGGTAATTTATACAAAAATTTATAAAATATACAATATTATAAAATATACAAACATTGACACTAAATTTATATTTGTAGATATGTTGACAAGGAACATGCAATGCCAGATAGTCCGACCGAGGAACGATTGGATCCGCCACAATTTGCGGAAACTTGTATGCGAGAATTGATCGGACGTGCATCATTTGGTCACATCAGATGTGTTATAAGACCTGTGCTAAGGTAAAGAAAAAAGATAACTTCTAAAGAATTAATATCTAGAAGAATATATTTTATGTACAATATATCTATATTTATAAGATATTAATTAAAGACTTAACTAATTGCAGACACTTGGATAATCATCAGTTGTGGGTGCCTAATTATTTTGCAATTCATACCTTTAGAATAATTATGTTTTCTATCCAGGTATATACGAGACGACATAGTTTTATTTATAAAATAATAAAATTGGAAAAAATAATATTTTTTTCATATATTTTTAGTCGCAATATTCTTACACTGTAGTGGAAGCTTTAATGACACATCTCGACGATCATTCAAAGTCGTCTCCAAAAATTCGTACTAGCATAGCAGACACCTTGTCTAAAATTATATCGATTGCTGCAGGTGAAAGTGTTGGTAAGCACACAAGATGATAAAATTAAAAATACTCGGCATAAAAATTATGCTGTTAATATATAGTTAACAAATATAAGTAATAACTATCAAAAAATGGAGATTATCTCGATATTCTTAAGTTCTTTTAACTTATTACATGTACTTTTTTTAGGACCATCTGTATTGGAAATTATAAATTCTTTATTATCTCATCTTCGAGTAAGTGTAACAAGGAATCAGTCGTCAAGCAGTGATGAACAATTATACCAAGAAGCCCTCATTAATGCTCTTGGAGAATTTGCAAATCATCTTCCAGATTATCAGAAAATTGAAATTATGATGTTTATTATGAGTAAGGTTCCATATAGTCAGCCAGACCGTATTGTATCAGTTGGCAAAGGAGATGTATTACTCCAAAGTATACTTCTAAAATCATTGTTAAAGGTAAAAATCATTTATTACAAAAAAGTATAATTAATTAGTACAAAAAATCCTAAAAAGATAGAATTTAGATTTGATAGAATCACATCAAACAATTCCTATATGATCAAATTGTTAATATAGACATTTTTTATTTTTGTAAATTGATCAAATTGTTGATAAAGACATTTTTTATTTTTGTAAAGTGATATTTTTTTATTTTTGTAAATCAAATTATTTGTATAATATATTTGATAAATTTTCCATCTTTTTTTATATTATTTAGTATGTAACATATTTACCATTTTTAATCAGTGTTTATCTAGTTGTATTTTTAATTCTTTTGCTATGGTTAAACTGAACGCAGAATTCTATCGCAAAAAAAGCAAATATAAATATCAAGCAATATACATATATATATAAAGCAGATATAAAGCTAAATATATATAAAGCGCGATCGATTTCTATCGTTTTTTTTATCAGTTTTAAGCAAGGTAATAACATATACTTTATTTGTACATAGGTTGGTACTAAATATCAAACTATTCATCTGAACACGACATTCCCACCTAGTTTCTTGGATCCATTACTGAGAATGTCATTGGCAACAGATGGTGAAATGAGACTTCTAGTACAAAAAATATTCCACACACTAATTGACAGACATAGGAATATTATGAAACTTGCTAAACCAACGTAAGTTTATCTCTGGCTAATGTGTATTAACAAATATTAATTTATTAACATTTATTAATATCTTATTTATTACTATTTTTCTATAGCTTGTATTATATATGATTCTTCAATACATCAATTTTTCTCTCTTTCAGTGTGAATGTACCAGAACTTGGTCTAATTATTGAGAAAGCATCTAGACCCGATGTAATATTTATTCGAAAGCATGGTCCTGAAATCTATTTAGCATTGTATGAATCATTAGAGCTGACTAGCAACACTGTAGAAAACGTGGAATCTATTTACACTACATTAGCATTACTTGCCATTGAATTGGCTTCTGAAGAAACTGTCTTAGAATTATTGAGATTGGTGTTGAGCCTTCAAGATTTAGCATTGACAAGTAGTCAAATTAGTCTTTCACTCAAATTTAACTTACATGCAATAGTTATTAGCTTATTGATTTTAATATCGTACGTCTGCAATATTACTGTACTTATGGATTATGCAAAAAAGGTGGGTAACTTTTCTTCTCGATCATGAATTTATTTATATTTATTTTTTTATTTATGATATATTTGCTTAAATGTAAAATGCCTAATTAATTGGACACATTTAAATCCGTTTTAAGGTAGTGGACGCGCGTCGAAAGGAGAGTCCGCACTTGTTACCAGATTTACAATCACAATATGATACTTCTCTAACATCCAGATTAACACCAACTCTATTGGTTGATCAAACTGTTGTCAGTGAATGCTTAAAAGGAGCTGGTTTTGATAGTGGAAAACTCCAGCAAGGCTCTGGTTATAATAGCAATTCTTTACAACATAGGTAATTTTTTAACTGTATAACAAGTATAATACACAATAATTAGCTATGAACATTAAATTAAAAAAAAAACAGAAAGTGCATATTGTTTTATAATCAGTTATATATAAATGACATAAATATTTTTTGTTAGGCATTCTTGGGTTGACAGTGCTGGACGAAATTCATTAGCTGATATTAATTCTGGAGGTCCAGAATTGGATAGTGGAGGTTCATCACCCAATGTACAAAAGGTCAGGTTTTAAAATTTAAAAAAACATGTAATCTCGGCTAAATTAATTAATATCATTATTTAACTAATATATTTATTATCATTTTGATTTTGCTTAATTTTTTTCTTTGATTTTCTGAATTATTTCTATTATTATATTATTATTTTTAATCCTTAATTTTGTACAGAAATTACCTGGAGAGGAATTAACATTTGAAAGCATGAAAAGGATCTTGACAGAAAATAATAATAATCAAGTGGTAGAAGAAGAGAAACGAATGCAACTGTTTCAGTTTTTCAGGAATGCACCATTCCAAGATCTAGTATCAAAAACACAACCTAAGGTACAAAAATTTATTAATTAAAAATAAGTTAAAATCTTAAAAATGTAATATTCTAATATCTATATATTATATATGTAATATTTTAAAAATTATTCCAATTAATATATTTTTTTATCTGTTTTATTTACAGCACGATGTTTTACAAAGTAAATTATCAGAAATATTTAATACTTTGTCTGTTGAGCCACGCAACACAGTTTCTACAACTGGACCACAAACAGATACTAAACCAAGTCAAACCCCATCTTATGAAATTCACTTCCCTGAGCTGTTTGTATATTAAACAATTCTTATTGTACAATATATTAAACTATTACTTTTATTGCAATAACATTAGTCAAATATTAGCTGCACTGTATTAGATCTTGTTATAATAACACCTGTTACAATAAGAGCAATAGCTCATATTCTTTAAAAAATAACTCTCGTGTATATGCAAAGATTAGAGTAAAAAACGTTTTTGTTTTATATATAGTGTTAAATATATTTTTTTTATTGATGTTAATCAGTTGTGTGTGTGTGCATGCAACAAATTCTCTCTTCCTCTCCTTTCTTCTTTTCCTCTTACTCTTTTTCTATATTTATTTTTGCTTTCTAATGAATAAAAGTCAAATATTTTAAATAGATACCATATTAAAAAATTTTTTAATTATTTTTTATTTATTGTTATAACAATTTTATAGAGAATTGCTAGAAATTTAAGGTGTATTTGTTTTAGATTTTTAAGCACTTATGTTCTATTTTCACAATCATTTCTTTATTAAGAATTCATAAAAAAGACAGTCATTAATTTTGGTACTTTTGTATTAAAATGTATTGAAATAATAACTTTTATCAACACACATTCTTTTCTGTTGTAAAAGATATGTTAAATTCTCATGGAAAAAATATTATATGTATATATATACTTAATAGATAATAATGTAATCAATAAAAATAAAATATATATAACAAATACATATAAAACACACACAATAGTGTTAACATTAATAATTAGAAAAATGTCTTTAAAAAAAACTATAATCACTTTAAGTATATTATCTAGAGAAATTTAGAATAGAAAAAAGAATAAGCAATATCTGAATAAGCTTTGTTTCAAATATAATTATATTAAAACATGTGTTATGTGCATACACTAAATAAAAAATGTTTTTGTAACTTATTTTGTTTATCCTTTTTCACACTTGCTTTCAAATTTATTTAGTCACATAATACATGTGAAAAAAAGATATATACTTGACAAAACAATTTTTTGTTGTACTTTATTGTGTAGTCAGTAAAGACCTGTACTGTTACATCAATGTAATTATATTTTTTAACATCAGTGGGTTGTTCTATAAAATATTTGAAAAATTATGAAATATATAATATGTGAATAGAATGAACAGGTCATTGTATATTTGGTGAATACTTGAAAGGCCCCTTTATTCAACTGCTCATTATAGGAACATGATTAGGTTTTAAATCAAATATAAAAGTAAAATGTTTTGTGTGTATATGTGTAAAAAGTTCATAATTAAACTACACATTAGTATAAATTTTACATACAGTTTAATATTTATAAAAAATGTTTTAATATTACCAATTTAATAGTTTAAATAAATTTATGCATTATTGCACATGCAATGTTCAAATAATCTCAATGTTTTATACATATCAATTGATAACAAATGCAGTTTTTTAATATTTGAGCGATTGAATTAAGGTGTTAGCACAGGATGTGCCGCGTTTATATAACGACTACTACATAATACAATTTGATGCAATTTTTTATTCTTTTTTTGTTTGTATTGAAATGCATTTGGTCAGTTTGGTACATTCTAAGAGGTATTTCAGGGTTCCACCTTCAGTAACTCCACATCAAAGATGAGAACTGCATTTGGAGGAATAGTGTGTCTTTGTCAAGGCTAATACAATTAATTATTTGTATTTTATAACAAATAAATTAAATAGAATAATTATCTACATATATGTACATAATAATTCTATTTAATACATTTGATTATTCTGTACTTAATATTATTTTGCATTAAAGGATATACTCCAGGATGGCCTCGACTGCCATAAGCATAATCTGGAGAACATGTTAGCCTGGCTCGTTCTCCGACGCACATTTTTGCCACTCCTTGGTCCCAACCTTTGATTACTTCACCCTTGCCAATTTTAAACTTAAATGGCACACCACGATCTCTGCTAGAATCGAATTTCTTCCCATTGTCAAGAGTACCTAAAAATATATTAAAATTTATTAATTTATCTTATTAACCTTATGACATATGTATAAAAAAATTAATATTTGCATAAAAATAATGAAATATAATGTAATCTGTCCCCCTTATTATATATAAAATAATAGTAAATGTTGCTTTTTATTCTGAGATATATATTTTATATTATATATTATTATAAAATATTATATGTATGAAATTCAAAATATTAAGTATATTCATACACAAAATAAGTACCTGTGTAATGTACAACTACTGTTTGCCCAGTCTTTGGATAGGTTTGACCTGCACATAAACAGAAACTCGTGAAAAATATTACAATAAAATACATTTGGAGTTGTAGTAAATATATTTTAGGATTGTAATAAATAAAAAAGAGAGAAGTGTGTACGTGTGTATTGTTTTGCGGCATAGCATTTATTTTATCTGAATATAGAAACCACGTTACAACACGTATGTAAATTACGTTCGTTCGCGGTCTTTTAGACCGTGACATATTAATGAGTATCGAGCGAGTCGCCAAGAAACTTTCGTAGCATCGAAACGCGATACCGCGTGGAAAGGAGCATTTCAAAATGGGAGAGAAGGTTCTCGAAGAGGAAACACGATAAAGAAAAATTCAGCGAGAGTCCGTAGAAAAAATAAAACATTTATTTACTACCATCGCCAGGTTGCAGAACTTCGACTTCCACGCCCATGACTACGTAGTTTCTTTCTCTTCGCACCAGCGATCAAGCTCTCTCTTCAAGGGTAAGCAAGACTCGTGCGAGAATTCGGAGTCACAATTTCTCGACGTCGACTCTAGCTTAGAACGTTTGGAACAGAGAACAGAATTCGCATAAAACGACACTACTCCGACTCCACACTACCCACAATCCACGGACAGTGATTTCCAGTAATTCCGGATCGTGGGATTTTCGGGCGCATGCGCAATAACGCGGCATATAAAAAGCATATATACAGGGTGTCCCATTTTAATTGACCACCCTCAAACTTTTCTGTTTGTTACTTTAGAAAAAAATGTTTCGAACAAAAGTTGTAGGGTTTCGAAAGGTCTATTTATTTCAGTTTGATCTTGGCAACGCCATCCAAGGTCAAACTGATAAGGCCAATAAATAGACCTTTGAAAATCTTACAATTTCTGTTTGAAACTTTTTTTAATTACAAATAAAGTTTTTGAGGGTAGTCAATTAAAATGCGACACCCTGTATATTTTACCGAAATAATTGTTATCGTTAGGGCTTGGACACAAAAGAATAAAATGGCTGCGATTGGCTAGTTTAATCTAATGATGCATAATCCGATACGAGCTACGCGGTTGGTGGAAAATGACTAGGAACCACGTGATATTAGAAGAAAATAGAAAACCCTATCAGATATGCGATACATGTGATTTTCAAGTAAACAATTTATGTATGATGAATTTTGATAGAATTCATGAATTTTTATAAAATATAACGCGCAAATGGATTTACAATACAGGTGTGTATTTTATTTTTCAAATAATTTTTTACAAAATATGCATAATAAGTAAAGAAATTGAAATTCTCTGTGAAAAAGTCTCATCTCTTTGTCTGACAATTTTATCAAGAAAATATTTTTAATTAATTTATAAAATAGAAAAATATATTTTATAGGCTTTTAATTGTTATCTTGTTTTCGAAAAATGTTATTTATTTAAATATAATATATTTGCAGAACAATTCATCCTGTAAAATATTTACAAGATTATCTTGTGAGTATCACATATGCAATTAAGAATTTGACAATATTTTGACAAATTTTTTATAAACAAATATATGACAAGTCTATAAACATTTTCAGAAACAGGGCATTCGACCAGATGGTAGAAAATTCTTATCATTTAGACCAGTGAGTGTAAATGTTTCATCAATTGTCCAAGCAGATAGTTCAGCGATATTTAAATTGGGTGACACAACTGCAGTTTGTGGTATTAAAGCTGTAAGTATATTTTCAATACTTTTTATAATCATATATAACTAAAATTTTAATAAAATTCTTAATGTGAAATTCATATTTATATTTCAACAGACTAAATATTATATAATGTATTTGTGTATTTTAAAATTTTGTATATGTACATGTTATTTAAATTTAATGATATTTTTCTTTATATATACATATATTATATATATATATATATATATATATATATATATATATATGAAATTTATATTTATTAAAGAATTTGAATTAAAATAACAATATCTTTAATTTGATAAAGTGGCAATTAAATATGCAACATCTCAAAATATAATGTTTCAGGAATTAGCGACACCAAAAGCAGATTTTTCAGATCATGGTTCCATAATACCAAATGTAGAACTATCTCCTCTGTGTTCTTCAAAGTTTCGTCCGGGCCCACCAAGTGAACAAGCACAAGTGCTTTCTAAATCAATAGATATTATATTAAGCAATTCAAAAGCACTTGATTTAAAAGATCTTTGCATATGCAAAAATAAATTAGTATGGGTCTTGTACTGTGATATCTCGTGTTTAAATTACAATGGCTCGGTTGTTGACGCTTGTATTGGAGCAGTAATTGCAGCTCTTAAAACATGTAAGTTATAATGTGTTGCTGTTTAAGTATTACGTAACGTATATTTTCAATTTCTTTTTTATTCTGACAAAAAAATTTACTTTGCAGTGACTTTACCTGAAGTAAACTACAACAAGGAAACAGGAGTAATTGTTGTACATCCAGAAAATAGAAAGGCATTTACTGTAAGAACACTTCCAGTTTCTGCATCATTTGCAATATTCGAGAAGTCAGTAGTTTGAGTTATTATTATAATTAAATATTCTTAATTGTTTTTTCTTTTTACAATTAAGTTTTCAATTATTTCTTTTTTTTATTTATAGACAACTGTTGCTAGCTGATCCTTCAGATGATGAGGAAGATTTGTCATCAGCAAGATTTTCTATTGTGATGGATGATGAAGAGGAAATATGTTATATATATAAACCTGGTATGTATTTTGCTTTCGTATAGTATAGTATAGTATAGCAAATATTTATATTTTAATTATCTTTCTATTATTTAATGGTTATTAAAATATATTCATTTCATATGATAATAAATTATTCTCTAATAATAATAATCTTAATATAGGTGGAATTGCTATCTCTCAAAATTTATTTTGCAAAGGATTAGAAATGACAAAAGTAAGAGCAAAGTCAATCAGATCAGTGATTAATGCTGCAATCTCGACTCTAAACGAGAATATAGAAGATTAAATTACTTAAATAAAAAACTAACTTTTTTTTACTGTGTGTGTGTGTGTATATATATATATATATATATATATATATATATATATATATAATGTCATTTTTTTTATAATAGGTATTATTATATGAAGGTACACAAAATATCCAGGATATCTATTTTTTAAATTCCTATTTTATTAAACTTTAGATAATGTATAAAAAAAAAGAAAAGAATAAAATTCTAGAAAAGTGGAAAGAGAATATAATTATTAACAGATATTGTACAGTTAGTATTTTTATTTGAACATTTATGGCAAGTTATTGAATATATTTATAGAAATACCATGAGAAAATATTTGTGACAAAAATATATAATGTGCTAATACATATATCAGTCTTTCCTTTAGGGACATCAATAAAACATATATTTAACTTAAAAAAAATCACATTATATACTTCAATAACTTAATATAAACATGCCTTTCTCATGATTTTCAAGAATTCTTCTTGCGATATCTCTCCATCTCCATCTTTGTCTGCTTCATCAATCATTTCTTGTATTTCTTCATCAGTCAGATTTTCTCCCAATTCATGTGCGACTCTTTTCAAGTTTTTGAAAGATATCTTCCCTGTATCATCATCATCAAAGAGACGGAAGGCTCTTAATACTTCTTCTTTTGAATCATTCTCTGACATTTTCACTGTCATTATATTTAAGAATTCTTCATAAGATATTTTGCCAAGACCATCTGGATCTACATCCGCTACAAGTCTCTTTAATTCTTCCTTTGTTGGTTCAGTGCCCAGAGCTCTAATTGCAACTTTAAGTTCTTTGGTGGCAATTTTTCCAGTACCATCCGGATCAAATAAATCAAAAGCTTCTTTTATATCAGCTTTTTGCTCTTCCGTTAGCTCAAATTTTATTGTATTCTTCTTGCGGACAGCACCAGTGGTATGTTTTTTGGATGTAGATGCCTGTAAGAGAGAAAAATAGAATTATTGAGGAAACTTTATCTTGGAAAATATAAAAAGAACACAGAGTCAGTCTCTTAAAAATGAGAAAAATTGTGATAGTTTCAAACAAATAGGAAATAATTTTAATAAATTAGTATAAAAAATATTGAAAGAATATACAATTAAAAATATTAAATTGATAGAAAAATTAATTAAATTCAATAATTACCATATTCAGAATCTGCAATTTGTTTTATATACTAACTATAAAAAATTACAATAATTGTTTCTCTATGTAGTGCTATTAAATATTCTTGCAAAGTTGCCTCGTTATTTTCACTAGACACGCGATTGTGAATATAACTTTCATCGTATTTATACCGAAAGAATTTAGTTTGATCGATAGACGAGCCAGCCATACGTTATTTCTTATGTTTTAATGACAGATGTATGATAGATGAATATTCAGAATGATTACAATATAATTTGTATCTCGATCAAAAATTTAATATACTTATACAAAATATACAATTTATATCAAAACTCTATAAATGTAAAAAATATTTTCTGAAAATTTAGTTATATATTCGCCAAACTAGTCATGAGCCATGATCGGCGAACGAAACGAAATTATGAATCGCTAGGTTAGGTTAGGTTATATTGCTTTTGATTATTATAGAATTTATTCTAAAGAAAATTTACGTTATTTATTATATTTTATACATTTTATTCTTGTTGCTTTAAATTAAAATATAATAATTCTTATATTTAATTGCCAGATCATAAATACTCTCTAATGTTATTTTTACTTTAAAGCATTTGATAGCTCAATCAGGATAAAGAATATTAAATTTTATAAAGCAAAAATAGCAGAGCTCATCTTGTTATATTTTTAACTTTTTTTATAATTACATCAAATTTCTATTTTAAATGACTAGAATAAAGTTTTAAATCAGAAGAATATTTTGGTATATTTTAACAATCAGTCTAGCATTAATAATATCAATGTTTGCTTCAGCGTTTTCTACTTTATCTTCTTATAATTTCTTAATTTTTCTATTTTTTTCTTAATCTTTTCATTTTCTCTGTTATGCTTTTCATTTCTTCATTCAACTGCTTTATTTCTATTTTCTTTCTCCTTTCTTTCTTAGTCTTCTACATTTTCTTCTTTTATTTCTTCTTTTATAGGAAGATATTCCTGATCTATCTGCCCCCAATATTCATTTTGAATATTTGTTTGATCATAATCATTCACTTCTATCATCTTCATTTGTCTTTTCTTAAAATAGTCTTCCAGAGTTCCTTTATGGACTTGAGCAACTTCGTTAAGTATATCAGTTATCCAGCAAGCTATTATATCAGCTAAAAAGCGCAACTGTTGCGTTGCTCGATCACCATTTTGAGCATCCATCGTATATCTGTCAAGAGATGTTAATCGTTTCAATATCACAGTCGTAATTTCATCAATATCCTTCTTTCGCGTCTGACAACGATGTCCTAGAATGCTCTTGACAAAGTGTTCAGCCATCAGATATTGACACATTGTCGCATCCCTGTCTAACATTGTTGCATCTTCGGTAATCTCTTTCATCAATTTCTTCATAAGTGGTGAAAATTGTGATATCTTCTTCCTTGTACGTTTCTTCCGGCGAAGGACTCTCGCAGCTTCCCTATGAACAATAAGGGCTTGTCAGAGATTGCTAAATTACAAGTTAAAATTAAAAAATATTCATATAACTTTCATATAAAATTAAAATTAAAATTTGAGAATGCAAAACACATATATGATACATACTCTGGAGTTATACAAGATTCAGCCTCGATGATCTTAATTAGATTATTTACAAATGTTGGTGGCAGTATCGATATTTTCTCTCTTAAAGTGATTAACACGCGTTGTTTTGTTGGTCGTGCTAGTTCCTCGATCCGAAGAGATGCAGATTTTACAGTAATTTGTGGTACATCACGCTAAAAATTCACATAAGAAATAATATATAAATATAATATAAAAAAATATGAAATTAAAAATTAAGTTATAAAGTTATACTATTATAAATTATTACAAAATAATATATAATTTATAATAGTATAATTATATATACAGAGAATTAATTATACTTGTAATTTGCAGAAAATAAATAAGATACTTGATAGTACAATTAATGCAAAAAAGGGAACTTATATATGATGAAGATAATAATATATCCTTATTAATTTTACTATATATACGTACATATAAAAATTTCGAAATATCTAGATTACTTTCATGATCCTTGATGCTAACAGTTTTGAGCAAGGTTTTTTCTGTATTCTTTTTCCTTTCGATCGTGGTTTTTCTTCCAAAACATCATCCAATTCGCCTTTAATGATTTCTGTTTCCACGCCATCCGCAAATTTATCATTATTTGAAGTCATAGTGGTGTGTTTCTTTGAGAGAGAAAACTACAAAATGTTATAGAAAATAAATATAGAAAATATTCTTAGATACAAAGAGCAAATGTAAATTATTTCTTATAAACAATCATAATAATACGTACATTGCACTCGATTAATTTGTCTTTTTGCTCAAATTAATGAAGAATTGCATTTTTTATTACATTCATCTTGTGTATTTGATAAATATACGACGATTTAGAAATATTCATACATGTGTGACAGACGTAAACATCCGGAATAGCGAAAAAATGGCTGTCAACTGTCAGCTATCCGAGATTTGCTTTACCGATCGTAAGTAAATTTTTTCAGTTACCCAACCGCGAATCCCATCCAACCCAACCCTAGACTCGCCGACAGATGGCGCCAGCTTGACCGTGGCATTTCTTGGAGCAGCTAGCAGACAGCCCGTCCGTTTTATTAATCGATCATTCCGGGAGTCGCTGTGCGTGAATCGCGTTCGAGTTGGCTCGCGGCCTTGAGAGCTCCGAGATAGATAGATAATAAGACGCGCTTAAATACGTTATCCGGGAAAAATGTAGCTATCAGGCGAGTTCGCGCGTGAACATCTCCCACAAAACGGGACTGACAAGCCATGTCCTTGCGAGACGAGATGTGATCGGATACGACACGCACTTTGCATACACGTACGTCAGACGCGACGCTACCGATCGAATAATTAATTTAAAAAAAAAGAAAGGAAACCACCGAGGGAAAGGATCGCCGCGCACCGGGACACAGCGAAGCTATGACGAGATAACAGATACAGAATGAGGTACAGCAGCAGCAGCAGCAGCGGTAACCTATTCGGTTACGCGGTCCTCACGTTCACCCTCACTCGTCTCAAGGGTGAGTTCATTACACGATCTCGCGCGATATGTATATATATATATATATATATATATATATATATATATATATATATATATATATATACATCTATATATATACATATATATATATATATATATATATATATATATATATATATATATATATATGCGCAGTTATATGTCTGCATCTCTGCGTGTGCTCTATTTTACCTTTTATTTATAATGTCATCGATTTTGTGCGAACCGCTCGCGTATTGTATGTGCCCGCGTGTTCGATTAAACTCGGACATTCTCGAGGGTTATCAGAAAAATGGGGCAACTTGTATATGCTGCATACGTATATAAGGGCTCGGGCGCGGACGAACGAGAATAAGGGACACTTGCAGTATTAAACGTCGAAAATTGAGCCCTTTATCGGATTACACATTAAAGATTGGAATCTGATTAATCGAAAGGAATTAAAGCTTTTTTTCTCGATCAGATTTTTTACATCTCTTCGATAATAATTTAATATGGACTTGATTCCTTTTAATTCCTCATGTTTAATTCCTTCTTAAAGAAAGTATATGTGGAATTTTGTAAAATGCTTGTATATGTATATATTATTGTGATCTACATACTTGTATTTTCAAGTATTATATCTATTCTGATTAAATTACGGTGTATTAGACCTAAATTAAATTAGAAATTTAATTAAAAATGATTAATTGGAAATGTTTAATAAAGTAGGATTTTATGTCATGTGAAGTCAAATTTATATTAAATCAATTATTTAACTATTTGAGTCTGATTCATATAGCATATACTTCATAAAAAGATAAATATTTAAGAGTTCAGATGGAAAAAATAATTAGTTACCTAATTGGCTACTATAGGTAATTATATTAATTTTTTTTCAATTATTTTTTGTTTTCTTCCTTTAATATCAAGTTTTAATATTTATAGTACTCGCAGAAAGTGGAATTGGATGTAAAGATCAAAATGGACGCACTTATAATAATGGTATCTATTATACTCCTGGACCTGAACCGTGTACTTTTTGTATTTGTGACAATGGCAATCCAAAGTGGTGCAAAGCATTTATTTGCAAATTTCTCGAGGTCTGTAGTATTAACAATATATTCCAAATACTGTAATTAGAGTATTTAAATTTATAGTTTTTTATGAATAAAATTTGAAGTTTAAAGAGTCATACGAAATTAATCTTCTGCACAATATAGGAGAATTGCAAGTCTTTCCGTAGAGGAGATACCTGTTGCGAATTTATTTGCTTGGATGACACACTGTCAGCGATACTTAATGACAAAGATGGAACTAATGGAATAGATGGAAATGCCAATTATGATATAGGCTTACGATCAGTTGCCAGTTTTGTGACAGCAATATTTTCACTGAGTTTGTTATTCTTTTTGATTCATCGTTTGCGTCAGCGTAAAATACAAGGTAATATTGTACAATATCTGTATATATAGTTTAGAGTTTTAAATTTTAACTTTTTTGAAATTTGTGTGCAACAGTACATAATATTACTATCAAGACAAAAATTATTAGATTGTTTAAAAACTAGTGTAATTTATTTTATTAATGTTATTGTTTTAAAATCAATCGAAACAAAAATAAATGACAATTTTTGTTTCAATTGATATTACAATATAAAAGATGTAATATATAGTTACATATTAGTTTGTGTAGCGGGTCGAGAAAACAGACAACTTGGAGATGATCAGAGAAGCTTAGGCAGTATGGGATATTTGGACCGAGGATTGCCTCATGGGGTTCCCATGGACGACATATCTTGCGGGACAGGTTACTCATTGTGGAAACCACCTGGCAGCAATTACTTCCCGCGCGGCGAGGCGCCTCCGCCCTACGAGGAAGTAATCGCTGCGACGAGGGCGGAACAACTGCTATCAATGAATCCGCATACTCTACTATCAATAAACTTCTCCGATAATTACATGCCAAATATGAACAATCACACGAGCATGTCGGTCGTCGCGGACGCACAAAATGAATTAACTGTAAATGAGTTAACGCAAGCTTCATCTAACGATAATCATATAAATACACCCCTGATGTCTTCGTCGAGTAGACCACTTCCTAGTCCTAGTGCATATGCGTCTGGCAATTATCGACCGATGAGTCAGAATATCAATGCAACGTCTACCGTTGGTCTGAACACCAGCACATCTACCACGAATTTTACAATGGGAACAAACACATATGAGAATCTACCCATCTCATCGATCGGTACGATTAATTTCAACGTTGACAGTCAACACTCTGGAATCAATAGCGCCAATACGCAACAGCCACTATTGCCGATCTCGCATTCCACTATACCTAAGAATTACCGTCAGCACACGACGATCTTTCCGCGTCAGAACGACGCCGGTGCGTTCACGATATCGGCGACTTTGTCGAATTCGGACGTGCCCTCCCATCGCACGATCTCGCGAACGTTGACATCTCGCATCACCGACAGAGCGAAAGATATTCTGACCGATTGCTCGGCGAAGGACTATCTCCGTTTATCACCAAGCAACATCGCGACACCGCATAAAAGCTTGTCGCATTCTATGAAGCTGTCCGAGGTTGCAGCTTGCTCAAACAATTGCAAAACTACTACCAAAGATGTGGATACGTTTTATACGGATGATACTCCAACAACATCAGCGTCCGGTTTAGTAGCGCAATCCGAAACGTCTAAAACAGAGACGGCAGAGGTACCCGAGAAAACTCGCGAATACACAGTATGTACAAATAATTTATTATAATAGTATGCAGACGTATAATGTGTAGACGTTTATTAAATATAAATTTTTATCTGCTCCAGCCTTCATTAAGTGTAGCTAACGAGATCAATCAGAGCGGCAGCTTCGAATCAATGACGTATACATGCAGCATGCAAGCGTTGCCGACTCTGCACGATGACACTGACGATTATAGAAGCGAATGCGAGAACTGCAAAAGTGCGACGGGTTCTCGTTATTATCTGGATAACGAGGACGAACTAGTCACCTCTCTTCATGAAACCATGACGTTACACAGAAGACCGGACGAAACAACAAGTGCCACACCACAGTATTATAGAACTTCACTTACACTGCCGACGAGTACACGCCAACGTACAAGGTAATATATGTTTGATCAATATAGATTTATACGATTTTTTATTTAATTTTCATCATTAAGCTTTATACAATTTTTTAGCATTTTTTATTTGACACTTTAAGGCTCTTGGATCCTCGATTATTGTAATATGAGATCCAGTTCGTCTAGTTTTTGTACATGTTCAGTCATTCCACATGATAAAGTTTGATATCATAATTATTTTACAGCTGTTGATTGATTATAAAGGGAAAATAATAGTTTTCGAGATATTTTAAGAAGTGCTGGTTTCATCGAAATATCATTTATTTCAAAATAACATCTAAGAATTTGTAGCGTTTTCTCGTCTCTGACGTCACAATTCCAACATGATCGGCGAGGAGCCTTAAATTATTTCCAAACAATATTGAAACTGATTTTATAAAATTATTTTTGTGTCAATACTTTTAACGAAGATTAATTATGTACATGAAAAACTTTGTAGATCAATTTTAAAATTGTCTTTATATTTAGGATCACCGGGGCTCGTGAAAATTGGTTCAACACTATGCCAGAAAGTTCTAGCGGGTCTTCTGATGAAAACTAAGAAAATAGTGGAAAATGTTTAAATGCGCAAAAATAAGATTATTATACACACATACACACAAAATACAGTATCTGTATCCAATTATTAAAATTATCTATACAGAGTGTCCCAGAATTTTCGCGCTTCTGTTCTCGGATAAGATCGTTGGTTGAATGTCAATGCAATAATAATTTTTGCATCGTGTTAAGACAAAAATATACAGACTTCCTATATAATGTTTATCGCGATATAAAGAGAGCTCTCTTAAAAAAGCTTCACAAATCTTTCCATTTCTTCGATACAATGGCAGTTTAAGTCTTCCAAAATTCCCTAGCTTCCTTATACTCTCAATGTAATATTTGAGAGGAACTGCCAGTTTTTGGGACATCCTCTATAGTGTGTGATCGCCACAATTATCATTATTCTACATTATAATCTTCACCACCATTATTATCATTGTTGTCATTGTCATGAAACGGTGGAAGTTTGTGAGATTTTATATAATGAAACCTCTTGTTGTTAGTCCAAAGTGAATCGAGCAAAATCCAAGAGGAAAAATTCACAGTAAAATTTTGCAAACTTTCGCATTCTGTATCAGTATTATTACATCACTATTCTTATTATCGTTGCTGCATTATTCCGTGTTATTTTTTTAAATTTTATTTTATTCTCAGAACGAGCACAATTTAGTTACATTGAACATAATTATATAAATTTTAACAATAGATCTTTACTGTAAAAAGTAGAATAAATTCATATCTGTATATGTACATGATATTAAGAGAGAATCACACAAAAAAAATGTTTAACAAGTCATGAAATTCATTCTTTCATGGAATATCTACAAAAGCGAAATTTATACATACATATATATATGTATGTATGTATATATATGTGTATGTTAATAGATTTGTTAATATAGGTATATAAGTTGCGCGCGCGGCACCGATGAGATATTATTGAAGCGGTCGTGTGATGAATTTTTGTGAGTATTAAATAGTCCGACGCTCCCGGAGATAATTTATTAATATTATCACCGACCGCTTTCGAGATGATACAAATATCCAAAAATGCGCATTGTTAACTTTATAATTTACAATTGTGCCCATATTTTTTAGATATACATTGAAAAACCAAAATAATTCTTAAATGTATTTTATTGTGAGCGGTAACCAAATTGAATATTATTTTGATCCAAGTCTCTGATGAGTTACGCAGCAAAATATAGATTTTTTTTATTAAATTATATATTATAATTTATATATTATTGTTTCTCATTTTGGCTCTTATATTTTCTCGTAAAATATAAATTCCAAATCTTTTTTGGGGACAGAAAAGAAGGGGTTTTATCAAAGCTTTATTAAAAATTTAATTTACTAGGATATTTGAGATTGAGAAAAGATTACACCATGTGAGCGACTGATCTTTTATCAAATTTTCGATAGGAAGCAAAATTGACTTCATTCATCGAAGAATCTGTGATTCTTTATGCTTTGCTACTATGTAGATATATGTATAAAAAAAGGAGAAAATTCGGCTACATATTGTAACATTCAGGTCGGAAAGTAACAAAGACTGGAAGTGCCGAAGTGTTAACATTAGGCGAGTGACAAATGAAAAAAAATTGTAAGAAGTATTTTAATTGTAAATTGTCTAAAATTCAAGTAGAGAGAGAGGAAGAGAGAGGAAGCAAAAGAGATACATATAAGTACAAGTACGATAAGCTGCGTTTTATTTTGAATTTTAGTTAATGGCATTTTTTTCAAATGGGATATGAACAGTATTTGAAAATCTTTTTTATTTAAGTATTTACGATATTTATGCATTTTCTCGATAATTCACACAACATTCAACATCCGAACGATAGTTCTTTGCAATTGTAACACGAAACTTCTTTAGGTTTCTTGGAATCTCTTGTAACTTCTTATTCATGATATTATGAAATACAAATGATTAACAAATAAATCTTTTCTTCCGATGAATCATAATAATTGTGGGTAAATCTATTCCTCGTTCTTGTCGTTCATGTGTATCTCGTTTTTATTTTATCATATTATGCTACTGCCCCGAATATTTTAATTAAATGTTTGAGAGAGAAGGAGGAATATATACGAAATATAAATATATATATATATGAATTATGAATATTATTTCTATTACGCGTTCTGATATGTTATTCAATGTTAAGAATTATATTAAACTAAATATAATGGCAAAAATTAACTTACTTTCAACGATTTCTAATATACATATATGTATAATATTAATTTAAATTTTATTTTTAATTTGCGAAATATATAAATCTATATATTTAAATATATATAATATATATTATTTTTTAAGAATTCTTATGTGTGAATCTTGTTTGATGCAACAATTTATAATAATTGCGTTACATATGAGGAAGGCGAAAACAAAGAAACGGTATCTTTTGTAATAATAGACTCTCCGTCTTCGCTACAGTCGTTAAAAATCTTTTATTTGTTTCTCAAAGAATCCGTCCGCCCGTATTAGCAATTACAAAACGGCTTTCACGGCAGGCACAGCTTTCAAGATCCCGTCGATCGGTTCGATGGAATGGACGCGACTCCACGGAATCCTATAACGCTGTTCTTATTTAAAAATCACTATGCTCCGTCAGTATACGGAGCTGTATACACATGACATAAAGTTATTACGCTTACACGCTATTTATGCATATATATACATATATATATATATATATATATGTATAAGATATACATACTTCTTTTTTGTATTTATTAGTATATAGCTGTGTTCTCTCTTAGCCCTGACAAAATACGTAATATAATAAAATATATGAAAAATTGCTATAGGCCGAAGTCATACGCGGTGTCATACGAATGCAAATATCTATTGTAGATAAGAATCTATTATAGAATTGTACCTTTTGTTTCTCCATGTTTTTATTAAGACAGGTCGAACGTCTAAAATAATTCCTCGAAATGCAAGTTATATATTATTCAGAGTGTTCACAGAGAGACACAAAACTGTTTATAAAATCTTAAAAAAATATCCAAATTAGCAAAATTCAATCTACAATAGATTAATTTCTTCAAGTTCTTAAAAGTATTGAATTATTAAACAACTGATTGCACATAGAATCCTCTGCGAGTTACTGGCAACCAAGTAGCAAACTGAAGTCATTAAACGTCAAAATGACATCATTCGACGTCCAAATGACGCACGTTTGCTACCTGGAAATTTTGCGTATTTCGTGAGACACGTCTATCTTTTTGCAAAAGATGTAGGATATAATAATATCATATTTGAAATTACTGAAAGATGCAAAAATGTAATTATTCGAATTTTCTTTCGTCTTTTTTTCCATATTTTTTGTGATTCTTATCTGTATTGCACCGACGTTACCGCGAGACCTCGTCAAAAATCGCTCATCACAATCTGATTTTCTTTTTCTCTCCATGCACACGTGTACATCACTTTGCAGCGACAAATTTCCGACTTTTTTTGACTCTCGCGAATCCTTTTTGCTGCGATATTTTCATAATAAATCATAGAGAGGCTATTTTGTATGAGAAGAGACAAAAAAATATATACTCTTTTCTTTCAAAGATGATCCCAATCAAATCAAATCCCGAGATGTAAAAAGATAATAATAAAAAGATATATATATATATTTTTCCCAGAGTAAAAGAGACAAAATCAATTTTTCAGTTCATTTTTAAATAAAAAATGTAGAGTATTATCTATTTATACATCAAATCGAATCCCGAAATGGAAATAGATAATACTAGAGATAGTTTTTTGCTTTTCATTTATTGAACAATTAACTTCGCCTCTTCTGGAAAAAAATATACAATATTTTTTCCCAGAAGAGGCAAAATTAATTTTTCAGTAAATAAAAAGCAAACACTAGTATAATTTATTAATAATTCCATTTCGGGATCGACTTGATAGGATCATCTTTGATTCAGAGTTGAATAAATCATTAATCATGGAATTTAATGAAACTTTAAAAGTTTTTGGAACTTTTCGCAAGCCTTATCAAAGTTGGATATCGCCGCTGTACCGCGAATATATCCTAATTTGCAAGGAATATCGCGGTTCGCGTTGACCGTCGTCATCATCTTCATCATCATCACCAAACGTTGATCGTAGCAGAGCAATCGCCGTTTTTTCAGGTCCCAATTGCTTCGACAGTTTGCTCGATCAACGCTTAATCAGCTCGCAATCACAGCACTTTTCTCACAATCTTTCATCTACTCTTGACGAAAATTACATTTACAAATGCATTGCGCGAGGACAAAAATTCACAATACAAAGGTGCTACATTGGCAAAATACAATTAGCGATCTATCTCATATTGTATATATATATATATATATATATATATATATATATATATATATATATATATATGTATATATGTATATGCATATACATATATATTTGTTTTTACTTATTTATTTATCGAATTAATTGTATAACCGCTTAGATCGAGAATTAAAATGGCGTCAAGAATAATAAATTGATGAAAAGTAATTTCGTGGAATATATATTTATGATTTTCTCTCTCTCTTTCTTTCCTACTCTCTCATCGATAAATTATATCGAATTGACAAAGTCAGAAAATATGAAAAATGCAAATTTTGCGAAAAAATATTAGAAGTTATATTTTCCCCACAAATGCGAGAAACAGGAACTCGTTACGAGTGATTTTAAAACTCGTTAATCGATTGTTATAAACATTGTTTTTTTACATGATTAAATATTTATGTATAAGATTGAAAATTAAAGCTGTCTGTGCAAGGACATAGATGATTTTATGAAAATGATTTTGTGAACAAATTCCCGAAAGTAATTTTTTCTAATATAGTATATTATATTTTTCATTTAAGGAAATAATAATTATAACTTTATTATATAATAACTTATTATTTAGAAAGTAATATATTCTTCGAATTAATATTATGTTATTCATTGAAAATATTTGTATCATCTGAAAGATGTAAAGATATTTTAAATTAAAATATCTTTTTTCAACTAAAATAAATAATTCTTCGGAAAAAGAATATTTTGTGCTATATATCTTTTATGCAGATGATCTCAATTAATGTTTCAGTCCACGAATAACACTGTCAGTTCGATAAATCACAATCTATGGAAAGAAGAAGGTAGCATTTGTTTTCAATCACTCGCCCAAGCTCTATTATTCGAACGCTTTGATAGTTATATAATAATTTTCTTAAACATTACTGTATTCTTTGACAAAATTGCAATCAACCTTTGCACCGCGAACATTTTTACTAGCGCGATTTTTTATGTTTCTAATTTTCAATGTTAAAGCTATATTTGTAGTAATAAAGCGCGCTTTAAAGTTAGAAAACACAGCTTTAATGATAATATCGTTTAATAGAGATTAACTTCTTATTAAATAGAAATGCCCAAACGCAATAGAATGCGATTAGAATATTCACCAATTAGAATCGCAATGTGATAACAATTAAATTGCTATTAAATTCGACTTAAAGTTTAACTAATGAGTTTACTTAGCTTAATTCACCAAAGTCCATTAATCGTTAAACAATATTACATGATCCTAATTGGGATCTTTGATACAATTTCGCGGAATAATAATATAATGCCAAAGAATTCGTCAAGAATTTCAGGTTGCAATATTTTTCCTAGCACGAGCAGACATTCTGTATACATATCTATCATACACTCAGTTCCTTTAAGAGTACGCATATTTTCGCCGATTTTTTGTTCCTTATTGTAGTGATAGAACATGTGTCACAAAACAAAAAACAAATAACAATATTCCTGTACATACAGATCGATTACGGGATCGTTTCATCGCTTTGCGACGCCGGTTGCAACTTGCTGTTTCTTAGATTAAGAACGAGTCGGTACGATCTATGCTCATTCAAGCATACACTGTCTTCTATTTTTATATTAATTACATTGTTGATCGGAAATACTAAAGGCACCTAATGTTTCGCTGGATGCTGTTTGCGTTGCGCATTGACAATTAATTAATCGACAGGCGCAACCGAGATAAATCGCGACGGAAATTCTCCGTTTCTTTTCTGAATCCATTCCTTCTAATTTATTTCTTTTTTTGCACACATAGTTCGTCTTCATAATGTAAGA